CCCTGACTCTTCAGCAGCTCAAGCTCGGCTTTGGCTCTCGGTAAACCTAGCCCTGCATGCCTACGCAAACTCGCCTAGCACATTCTTCCGTAGTTAAAGCACGTCCAGCCTTTTGATCCCGCTTCATTCTCTCTGCCTGGATTCCACTTCCCAGCCCTCACCTCCTTTCTCAGTCACCCTAACTTCCTCTCTTCCTTCTTCTGGTACAGGTGGGTAATTTGTCTGCCTACCTCTGCTAGGCCTCCCCCATGCCCTGTGTGTATCCGTCATAGCACACAGCTACTCAGCTGTCCGGCTCCTAACTCATAGGCCTGGGCTAGCTTTACCGCCCTGATGAGGGTGATGCACCAATGATTCTTTCGCATGCAACTTCTTAAATGTCCCAAATGTGGTCCAGGTGTGGCTCTCTTAGTTTGTATTACAAGCGTAAGAAAGAGGGCCCCAGGCATCCATGGCCTGAGTGGCTACTGCGCCATCTGATGACGATCTGCCTTTAACATGGGGAACTTGACAGTCATATAAAGACTTCTTTCATTTAAGTAAGAGCTATTTAACATAGTACGCCTACTTCCATCATTTACAAAAAACAACTTGCCAATGTAATAATACAAGAATATACTTTTCATATGTTTAGAATCTATTTTTGGATATAACTGGGGATGGAAATATTTTTAGAACTAATCTTATAAAATGCCTAATTTGTATTAGCTTTTAACTTTGTCATAAACTGTGAATGTTACAAACTGGATGAGTCAGGAAAACACAGGGAAGATATATTCATCTGTAAACACGTGATCGTGGCATGCTTCCCTCCAGGCTAACAGGTATCGCTAAAATTCTCAGTATAATAATAACATGTTTACAATGGTTCAGAAGTTGTTTGGTAAATAGAATCCTTCTCCACCCCGAAACTGGTATTTGCACAAGTAGCTTATCATCAAGATTTAGCAAATGGGGAAAAGTCCCACTTCCACTGGACTTGAAAACAGAAATGATTCTTTGATGCACATATGTAGCAAAGTTCCCATAAGATGACCTGTCTTCCCTTCCACAACCAAAGCAACAACAAAAGAGCTGTGTGTGTCCTGACTGCGGCACCTCACAGGGTAACACTATTTACAGACTGGGTCCCAGCAGAAGTCGCTGGGTTGAGATTATACTGGTGTGTAGGGCCAATAGATGGTGACCATACAGAATGACCCCAAGAGATGAGGACACGGAGACCTAGGGCCAAGGTCATGTGAAGGCAGAGGCAGGGATTCATGTCTGTACAAGCCGAGGAATGCCAGGTTTTGCTGCGGTGGCCAGAGGCTGGAGAGGGACCTGGGAACAGACGGGCGCTCAGGGCTCAGCGTCTCTAATGCTGGGCAGCAAGGCTTCAGAGCTGTCAGACAGCACAGTCTCCTGGTGTGTGATACTTCGTTACAGAGCCCTAGGAAAGGCAACAGCTCCCTGCCCCAGGACTGAACTGCTATCACCTAATAGAAAAGGTACACAAGCATCCAATTAAAAAAAACAACTGCCTTCAGACATGTGACAATGTACACTGAGAAACATACAAAGGACCAGGCTTCTGGACAAAGCAATTCCACTTCTGGAACACTATCATGAGCAAACAATCCCTAACTGGTAGATGACATAGCTGTTCATAATTTGTTGCTAATATACCCAACCATTAACATGGCTTAAGTAAATCCTATCACGATTACTGTAATGTAATGCAAATAAGAATTTTGAAAATTAGTAAGAGAAGGCTTACCATATGTCACATGAAAAATGTAAGAACCAAAATATAATGTAGGAAAGCAAACATACAGAAAAAAGAGGAAAAGCCAGCAGGTGGCATAGCATATTAGGGTACCACTTGCAAAGCCTGCATCCCATATAGGCACCTGTTCGAGTCCTAGCTACTCCACTTCTGACCCAGCTGACTGTTGATGTGCCTGGGAAAGCAGTTAAAGGTATCCCAACACACCCATGTGGGAGACCAAAGTCAGTCCAAGGCAGCAGTTTCAGTTCCAGGTGGACCAGGAACTCCATCTAGCTTTCCCACACGGGTACAGGGGCCCAAGCATTTGAGCCATCCTCCGTTGCTTTCCCAGACACACTGGCCAGGAGCTGGATAGAAACTGGAGCATCCAGGACTTGAACTGACCTTGCTAGGGTAGCAGGTGGCAGCTTGACCAGCAATACCACAGGGTTGATCCCACTGACTCATATTTTTCAATTCAAATGTCTAAAAAAAAACTTTCTAGGGGCAGGTGGTTTGGTGGAGTGGCTTAAGTCACCATGTGGTGTACCCCTATCCTATATTGGAGCACTGGTTTGAATTCCTCTGCTTCCAGTCTCACTCCCAGCTAATGTGGCACCTGGCAAAGGTGATGGGCCAAGGAGTTGAGTCCTTGCCATCTCTGTGGGACAACTGGATGGAGTTTTTGCTTCCTGGTGGTCAGGCTGGCACTGTCCTGGCTGTTGCTGGCATTTAGGCAGTGAACTTCCAGCTTGAAGACTCTGTGTGTGTGTGTGTGTGTGTGTGTGTGTGTGTGCGCGCGCGTCTCCTGTCACTCTGCTTTTAAAATAAATGCTTAAAAACAAATCTGTTAAGGAAAGGATTCTTGCTTCTTGCCGATTCGGTCTGCTTCACCTACCCCCTCCAAATGAAAAACACACAGGCACCTGTCTACAGTGAGGGGCGTGAGCGTGGCCTTTTCTCCCCTTCACCTAGGATCCCCCTGCTCCCCACATCTATCACGGATGACTCCTCAGCACCCTGTAAAAACACAGCTTACAAACTCCAATCACCAAATCTGCACAGTCTGTACCAGCACCACATTCTCCACTTATCAAGCCACTACGGTTTGTGAGGACAGAACGCTTCAGGTGCAGAGTTGCCTGCAAACTTTTCGTCCTGCAGCGCACACTTAAAGAAGACAAGGTCGTTGTTACTACAACATGGCATGTGAGTGGTTAAGGGAGCGGTTGGGGCCGGGGAAGAAGATGGTGAGGCAAGAATGGGGTGCCGGATGAGCCAGAGGAAGGAGAGGCTGCAATTGGAAGTGGGCATGCGACACTGGACAGCTGGGGTTTGCTACTTTGGATAATAGCGAGGCCCTGGCAGAGAGGAACCCGCCTGTGCGCGCGCACACACACACACACACACACACACACACACACACACACACACACACACGCGTGCTCCAGAGGAACAGCCAGGCAAATCCAAGTGGAATTCTACAGGGTGCTCTGACTGAGGAGAAACAAGGAAAGCACAGCATCCTGGGCCAGGTAAAGCACAGGTGCCAGGTGACGTAAGAAAGCCCCACGGAGTCCGCATTTTTGTACTTTCAAGAGTCTAACCAGGGCCCGGCGCGGTGGCGCAGTGGTTAAGGTCCCATATGGGCGCCGGTTCTATCCCGGCTGCCCCGCTTCCCTTCCAGCTCCCCGCCTGTGGCCCAGGAAAGCAGTGGAGGACGGCCCAAAGCTTTGGGACCCTGCACCCGCGTGGGAGACCTGGAAGAGGCAGCATAGCATCGACCGTTGCGCTCACTTGGGGAGTGAATCATCGGACAGAAGATCTTCCTCTCTGTTTCTCCTCTCTGTATATCCGCCTTTCCAAAAAATAAATAATAAAAAATAAATCTTTTTTAAAAAGTCTAACCTGGTACAAAAGGCACATAGAAGGAGGGGAAAAAGGGCTGGAGACACACAGCCTGATCCTTTAGGCCCGACTCCCCCACGGGACCCCAGGAAAATAAAAGTTCAACGCGGGCAGCTTGGGGGAGGGGACTGCTTAGAGTCGGGGCTGGAGGCTGCGCTGTGGGCGTGGCCGCGGGAAGGTGACTTAGAGCTCCGAACCTCGGTTTCCTCACAGGTCACGGAGCTCTGAGCAACTCTCAGACGCCGTTAGCACAAGAACTTCAACCAGAAAGGCACTTAATATGAAGGCCCGCCTTGGGCTGGGGGTGCAGGCCTTTGTGTGACCTTGGAGAGAACAACTCAGGCACAAGCCACCAATTAGGGGAATTAATAAGGAAGCCACGAAAGCAGGTGCAAGCTTGGCACCAGGTGTCCACGGCTCTTTCGAGGCAGTTAAGCAATAAAATTGAGGAGATAAAGGGGGCTCCATGAGAGCCGGGAGTTAAAGAGGACTCGGCGACCCGGGGCGGATGGCTCAGCTTCGGGGGAAGCAGGAGCGATGAACCGGCCCAGAGCCAGGCAAAGGCGGGGCCGCGACCCTGCCTAATCCAGGGCCCCCTGCTTCGGAGCTGCAAGTAGTGCTCGCGGCGCATCCGGCGAGTTTGAATCAGCGACAGCCGGCGGGGCAAGGCCGATTGCCTAACAGGCGATACCTCCTCGTCGGAGGGCAGAATGAATACTTAACGAGTCTCACCTCCGGCACGACCAGTTCCGCGGCTCCTGGCTCATCTCTGTCGTCCGGGCCAGCCGCAGCCACCCGGGCAGGATGCCGCTGGAGGAGTCGGCGACAGCCCACACTGACAAACTGGCGCAGCGAGCGCCCCACGACGGGGAAGAAAGCACCCCAAGGGAGCCTAGGAATTTGAAGGGAGCCCGGAGAGTGCACAGAGTGACCTCAGCGCCCCACAAGGTCGGGCGGCTCCATCTCTGCCGGGCTCAGCTGGGCCAGCGCCCATTCCCAGTGGGATGCCGGGGCTCAGGAGCAAGAGGGCGCAGGTACGTGGCCCCCGGTGCTCCGGCGGGCCGCGGCCGTCAGCCACGCAAGCTGTGCGCACAGAACTTCTTCCCTGCCGCCTCCCGGATCCCAACGTGGGCGGGCCGGGCTCTCCAAGCGCTCGGCACCAGTTCGTACTGCCCTCCGCCGCGCCCAAGGTCCTCCCTCCCTTGACTCCCGGCGCCCTTCCTTACCCCTACGGTTCTCCCTCGTTCCCTTCTCTCTCCCACCCAGCTCCCTCCCGGTCTCCTCTTGGTTGCGCTTCGGAAAAGTTTGGCCTCAGCCGGCCGGCCCGGAACCCCGCACTCACCGCGAGGGGCGCGGAGCTCGAGAAGCACCAGGCGCGCAGGCAGCGAGGGCGGCGGCGGCGCGAGCGCGCGGAGCTCCTCACAGCGGCCCCTGCTGCCCGGGCCGCCGACCGCGTAGAAAAAGGAGGAGGCCGCCGGGTATCACCTGCCCGCTCTGCCTGCCCCGCGTCACGCCGCCCGGCGCCGCCCCTTGCCCGCCCGCCAGCCGCCGCCAGGTACCCGCCGAGCCCCGAGGGCGGAGCCTGCGCCCCGCGCTCGCGCCCAGGCAGGGCCAGGGCCTCTGGCCGCTGTGCCAACATCACCTGAAGGTTGACCCGAGACTTAACCTCGACTGGGAACTTGACGGAGAGCGCCGATTCCTCTGTGGGCGAATCTGAAACGTGGAGGAAACGTGGAGGCAGAGAAGCAGACGGAAGGGAGTCCCCAACTCCTGCAAGAGTGGCCCAGGATTCTTTCGCTTCGGACACTCCATCCTTTGCTTTAATATTAGCAAATCCAAGAATCGTTGCAAAGGGAACGATTCTTGGAAAGGGCAGAGGGAGACTTTTAGAGCAACGAAGAGCAGCTTGCATGGAAGTTAACTTATTTTTGTTTCCTGGTTGCTAACTGCGAAATGCTACGACAGTCTTAAACATTTCTCCTTAGCTGTTTGGAGTGGGATGGGTGTCCGTGTAAAAGTTTAACTGACCCTGAGACGAGTTATGAGAGGATTTACGATTGGGGCAACCTGAGGAGTCTAGGGAAATCCCTTGCATAAGGCCTAACCAAAAGCCAGAAGACACCTAAAAAATAACCCTGGCGGAAGCGCCCTGTCAGGGTGGGCAGTGTGCTTGTGCTGTGAGCTCTCAGCACAGGCTCAAGACAGGAAAAAGGTCCTGCCCTTTAGATAAACTGGCAGAATGAAGATGCCCGGGGTTAAGTTAGTGGGTCAGAAGAATATTTCCCCCCCGCAGTGGATATGCTTTACACAGCCTAATCTAACTCCGTGGAGTGTGATGTTTTGATTTTTTTTAAATGTAAAAATTGGGGAGTACCCACTTAACAGCCATTGAAAGAACACTAACAATGCAAAAAGATCAAATGTAAGAGAAGCTTGTTGTTGTTGTTTTTAGTTCTTTTTTTTTAAGATTTATTTTATTTTTATTGGAAAGGCGGATATACAGAGAGGAGAGACAGAGAGGAAGATCTTCCTTCCGATGATTCACGGCGCCCATATGGGATCCCAGGCGTGCAAGGCGAGGACCTTAACCACTGCGCCACCGCGCCGGGCCCAGTTTTTAGTTATTCTTATTGGAAAGGCAGGGACAAAGATCTTCCGTTTACTGGTTCACACCTCAAGTGGCCACAACGGCTTTAGCTGAGCTGATCCAAAGCCAGGAGCCAGGTCTCCGCGTGGGTGCAGGGTCCCAAAGCTTTGGGCCATCCTCAACTGCTTCCCCAGTCCTCTGGCAGGGAACTGGATGGGAAGTGGATCAGTAGGGATGCAAACTGCTGTCCAAATGGGATCCCAGTGCTTGCAAGGTGAGAATTAGCCAATTGATTATTATGCCCAGCCAAAGAGAAATTTGAAGTAAAGGAAGCTAGAGTTTTTTCCTTCCTTTTAGATAAACTTGGCTTTTATGTAGCTCTGTAAATCCCTTTAGGGATTAGATGGTTGCTTGGTGATACTTGACTTTCAGCCTGTCACTCTCCTACCTTTTTTTTTTTTTAATCTATTTAGGAAATTTTATGTAGGCAAAAGGTGACAGAGGTTTATTTATTTAACACATTTTTGCATGCTATTAGTTTTTCCAGGCCCCAAAGATTCAACAAACAATAAAAACAGAGAGATTGTTCTGTTCTCAGGGACCATATATTAATATTTGTGAGCCAGATCTTAAGTGAATAAATAAAAATAGATGATGCTCAAGCTGTGATCAGAGTGATGTAAAGAAAGGAAAAGCAGGTGAAGAAATGGGTACGTATGTAAATGGGTGTGACAGATTTAGAGGAATGAGGGAAGGCCTCCGTGAAAGGAGGCACAAGAAGCAAGCTCTTCAACAGGTTTCTGTGGTAAGCCTGTGTGGCTCCCTGGATAGCAGCATGCCAGTGCAGAGGGTAGGTAAGGCCAGAGGCCCTGGGGCATGCACAGAACGGCCAGCAGGTCAGAGTGGCTGAATCAGAGAGAGGCAGGTGTAAAAGAAGAGGTCAGAGAGGTAGGAAACAGATAGAGGGAGGCGTCACCTAACTGATAAAAGAAGTGTGCTGGCAATGTTTCTCGGAGACCAGAGCATGGGGGGCTGGGAGGAATAACAGAAGGGCACAAGCAAAGACTTTCCTGGAAGGTTCTTGCACAACCCTTATAAAAGATAAAGGTGGTTTGGCCAGGTGGGAGGCAGTGAAAGGTGCTCATAGTTTCAGTGTCAACATAGTATCCACAAGCACCTCCCCCAGGATCTGAGTTGGGGTGTGGGAGAGACAAAGTATCAAGACAGACTGTAACAGGCTTGCCTTGAACGGCTCGAAAGAAGGAGTCACCATTTACCAAGAAGAGGGAAGTGTGAGAGGGACAGGTTAGGAGCTGTTTTGGATGCTGATTTCATTTGTGATACCTACCCCGGCAGGAATGTCAGGTAGGCAGTTGGTCTAACCCATCTGGGGTTCAAGAGCAGTCTGAGCACACAAAATAACTTTGGGAGTAAGGAGCTGCCAGACACTGTGTAACAGTAAGACAATGGCTAGGAGAACCCAGACTTGAGAACAGAGAAAAGCATTGAGAACTGAATCCTAGGTCAGGGAAATGAGGAGGAAGAGGCACTGAGGCTGGGGTAAAATCAGAGGAGTGGCATGTCCCAGCCAAAGCCGCAGTCAGGCTCCGGCATGAGTCACTGCAGAGCTCAGCAGCGCACAGCCCTGGACTGCTCTTTGTTCTCGTGCCCACAGGTCTGCAGGTGGGTGGGTTGCAGTTTAGCTGGCCTAAGCTGTGCTCAGGTGAACAGCTCTGCTGGAGCTTGAGGGCTGGGTTGAGGTCTGTGTCCCTGTGTGTCGACTCAGGAGCTGGGTTTACAGAGGCAGGAGCAACTCTGCACAAGATTTACAGTAGATTCTGGAGGTATAAAGCCAATACAAGGGTGGCACGGTTGGCACAGTAAGCTAATCCTCGGCCTGCATCACCAGCATCCCATATGGGTGCCAGTTCTAGTCCCGGATGCTCTCCTTCTCACCCAGCTCCCTGCTTGTGGTCTGGGAACCAGGAGAACATGACCTAAAACTTATGACTCCTGCATTCACATGGGAGACTCAGAAAAAGTTCCAAACTTGCAGCTCCTGCTCTTGTTCACTCCTTGCATTTGAGGAGTGAACCAGTGGATAGAAGATCTCTGTCTTCCCTTCTCTCTCTCTCTTTCTTTCTTTTTGACTGATTTTCAAGTAGAGTGTGTGTGTGTGTGAAGTCTCAATGCAAAGGAACATATATTGTGGCACAACAGATTAAGTAGCTGCCTGTGACACTAGCATCACGGTCACGTGCTTGGGCCCATGCACCCCTGTGGCACACTTGGGTTGAGTTCCATACTTCCAGCTTTGGCCCTGCCCACCCTGGCTACTAGAGGCATTTTGGGAGGAAAGCAGAGAATGGAAGCTCTTTCTCTCTGCCTTTCAAATAAAAACGAAAAGTGAATAATACACATAATGATGTATTATCATGCACTATATTGTACAATGCTATATATAACATCAATACTATATGACAATGTAATATAGTTATTATACATACATATATGTAAAGAATAAAATATGCTTGCCATGGAGTGATGGAGGGGTTGGGGAGGAAATAGATGAAGTAATAGCAGGTAGGAGAAAAGCGGTCATGGGAAATATGTGACATTTACAGTATAAAGGCACATCATGAGGCTCAGGGAAAATAGAATTAAGCAATGTTTACCCTTGGGGCAAAAGGCTTTTGAAATTCATGCGCTTTTTTCATAATCTATGAATTTTTTTGAAGCTCCTTCCCCACAGTTTATATCTCGGGGATATGGAGAAGGAAGGGCACCTGTTGTAGTGATATCCTTGAGTAGGTGAGAACAGTTGGCAGTAACAGACAGGTAGAGAAGGGGCCTTGGACCTGCACATGCACAGGCACCTGTAGGAAACAGGACGGGAGGTAGTTAGGAAACCCGGTGGGGGTTGTGGAGTAGGTGTTGATAGGTTGTCTCTGCTGGGGTTCCCCAGAAACGGACCCGAGACAGAAAGTTGCATGGAAGGAGACTGATGGAAGCCCATGAGAGAGCCACTGAGTAAAACATGCACATTATACACGCTGCAAATACCAGTGTTTTCCAAATGAGGCCTAGTGTTTTCATTAAATGTTGCGGCAGAAGTTTCATCTTACCCTTATCCTTATTATTGTCCCATCAAACATATCTTGAAATAGCTCTGCATTATTTCCATGCATGACTTCATACTTTCATAACATACATCTCAATACACAACTCTGTAATGCTGCACTTAAATTTAACTCTGGTCAAATTTTATATAAATAGTATCATACAGCATTCTTTTCATTTTTTTGTAAGATTATGTGTTTATTTGCAGGACACAGTTAGAGACAGCTCTTCTATTCACTGGTTCACTTCCCAGTTGGCTACAACAGCTAGGGTTGGGCCGGGCTGAAGCCAGGAGCCAAGAGTTTCATCCAGGTCTCCCATGTTGGTGTCTCCCACATTGAGTCACGTGCCCCTGCCTTCCCAAGGGCATTAGCAGGGAGATGGATCAGAAGTAGAGCAGCCAGAACTCAAACCACTGCCTATATAGGATGCTGGTGCCTCAGGCAGGGACTTAATTCACTCATGCCAAAGCTCTGTCTTCTACAAGTTTTTGCTTTAGTCAACAATTTTTTTTTTCTGGTTTGTTGTTTTTGTTGATAGCTGTAGTTCTTATCCATTCACTTAGTTACCAGGTAGGATGCTACTGGTTGACAATCCATTTATCCATTTGCTTTGACAATGAACAAAACTGTGTTATTTCCAATCTTTCTCTATTGAATACAATGCATGCAGAGATGACTATTTTCTCATACATGTAAGGACAAATGTCTGAGGTTAGGAGTGAAGTTG